CTTATGTTTAAGTTTTCTTGGATATCTTGGTGACATGTAAATCTCCCTTCTTAAAACTAGTCCTTTGTGAGCCAAGGAGTCTGATCTGTACCTGACTTAAAGTAATTATGCACTTATGGGAATTATGAGAAAAATTTTATTGCATTTTTTGAACCTAGCCCTGTGTGGCTGGGAAACTGGATCATCTTTATGAGTTGTTTAGAGACTCTTAACTAAGGACCTTTGTTATGCTGACCAGAAATTCACATCCAAAGATTGATGCAAAGAGTTTTCTTATTTGAAAACTGGCCCTGTACTGATCAATCAATTATTATGTCTGAGAACCCCTACCAGATTCTTCTGACTACTCCTACAGCTGCCAAATTTGTGGATGTGGACTCCTGAATCATCTGAAGATGACAAAAACCCTCTAGGAACCGCAAGCTTCCTCTAGTACAGACCAAGAAGCAGCCAACATTCCAGATGAGACAGCTGTCCCAAGATTTTGGATGAGGGCTGAGTACACTGTCCTAGTTTTTTCCTCTTTCCTTTTGGTATGTTCCCAACCACCAAGGCCCTGATTCAAGCATGTGTTGGCATTTTCTCCCCCTACATTCTTGGCCCCCCCCCTCTCTTTCTGCTTACAAGCAAACAATGGCTAGCAATGATACCCGGGACATTCTTCTCCCATAGGTCCCCTCAAGGAACTAACCCCCCGGGCAATATCTTGTCCTGACCCAAATGGCCTTTTGTGGCATCTTGGCTTATATCTGCCTCTCGTTTATTGGTTATTAGGGTAGGGGTTCTTTCAGACCCACACCCCCCTCCCCCTTTGGCCAAGAGGGGGAATTGTCAAGATATTAGGAGACACCTTATTTTTCAGAGCTAAGAAGTAAGCTGAGCCCTGAGCTTGGCATAACAACAATCCTTTATGTTGAACTTCTGGATGATCTCAGCCCCAGCAAAATCCCAGAATTGTTTCACACCAGCATTAGGGGATCTCTGAGGTCTCTTGGACAAGCACCTGTAGTGCCCATATTCTGGACATGAAGTCTGCTATGAATCAAACTTGTCACATTGTTGCTGTTGTCCCTCATTGTCAGGGCTACAGCTCACTTCCCAGCCACTGGTATAAGTATTGAGATCTCCCCACACTGCCTTAGAACTGCCCCCACCCCCACCCCAACACGAACACATACACACACACTACGGGTGGAGCTCCTGCACATGTCCTAGCTCGTAAGCCTTTTCTCTCACTTTGAAATTAAACTTCTATTTGATTCCCGACCTGCCTGTCTCTAGCCTGCTGTGTGTGGCTCCAGCACACAAAAGGTTGACTTTGGAGATAATCAACAGAGGGAAGTTCTGACTAATGTTAGATTGGAAGATAGAAGGCTTTTTTTGCAGAAGGTGGACTGTAATTGAGAGTTGAAGTAAGCCAGGGAAACCAGAGGGAGGTGAGGAGGCTGTGTTTCAGACAATGTCCAATTTCATTGGCCAGCCAATGAAACGCTCTGAGTAGGAGTTGGAAGATGGAGTGTTCTGTGCAAGGAATATACAGGAGGTTAGTATCACTGAGTATGAGGTGGGGAAAAGGGTGTAAGGTATAAAAAGACTGGGAAGGTAGGAGGGGTCCAGGTTATTAAGTGCTCTAAAAGCTAAACAAACTTTGTATTTGATCCTGGAAGTAATAGTCAGCCACTGAAGTTAATTGGAAATTGTGTGGGTGGATGTAATGTGGTCAGGGAGGTAATAGGGAGCCATGGGAGTTTATGGAGCGTGTGTGACTGGATGTACCATCGTCAGATTTGTACTTTAGGAATCAGTTTGACAGCTGAGTGAAGGATGGATGGAGAGAGACTTGTGTCCGGGAGACCTGGGCTATTGCACTGGGTTGGTGGCCGTGTCACAGGAAAGGGGGCACAACCCCGAGACGTCACCGTCTCTAGCCAGTGCCATCACCGTCCCCGTTTTTAATAACTTTGCAGCCCTCTAGTGGAATAAAAGTTTTTGTTCTGTCTTTACATTTAGTATATTCTCTTCTTTACATTAAAACCCTGGGAATCCGATTCTCCTTAAAAATGTGGAGGAATAGGGTTTACGTTTGGGAAGGCGGCCTCGGAGTTACGAGGAGTAACACCACCGCCTTGTGACCAGTAGGCGGCTCTTGCTCCGCGAGCCCCGGGGCGCTCTTACCTTCGCAAGGCGGGTGACGTCACCAGCGCGGTGGGCGGGGCCACGTGCCGCGAGGGAGGGAGCATCGCGGCCAATCGCCGCGTGGGGGAGCTCGCGTCTCGCGGCCGGAACTTCCGGGGCTGCCCCGGGCTGGCTTTGGAGTGCGCTCCGCGGTTTGCGGGGCCTGCGGGAGCGGCCGGAGCCATGTGGGTCGCGTTGGGCCGATCCCGCTGCTTCTCCCGGAGTGGGTCGGAAGTGGCTGCTTGGAGAGGGAGCGGAGCCGTAGCGGCCGGAGCCTGGAGTCGGCGGCTGAGCCCCGAGGCCGGCGGAGGCGGCCATCCCGCGGTGCCCAGCCTTCTTCGGGGCAGCCCCCTGCCTCGGGGCCTGCACGGGTCACCCGTCGCCTGCGGCAGTAAGAATTTGCTCAAGAAATTTGCTTCGAAAACCAAGTAAATGGGCTTAGGACGGGGAAGGAAGCAGCTCGGTGGGTGGAGCACTTACCGTCAGCCCCAATGGCCGAGGGATCCTGGGCAAGTCCCTCCCTCTCCCACAGCCTCAGTTTCCTCCAGCGCCTCTTCAGTGCTTGTCTATTATTGACGGACTCATCTGTGAAATGGGGGGTAATACTGATGATAGTAATAACAGTAACAGCGATCGAGAGACTTTTTTTTGCAAACGTTAAAGCGTCACGTAAATGCTAGCTGTCACTTTTTTCCCCAAGGGGAGATGTGACATCCAGGGATTGTTGGGATTGGAGTTACTGTGGAGCTCCATCTACTGACAGTTTAACACATCAGCTTCTGGCTGCTTGATCTCCCAAATCCTAGGCTCTTCAGTTTAGAGCTACAAGCAAGCCTAGAAGCTATGTAGTCCAACCCCCTTCCCCTTCCCGTTTTACATATGGAAAACCGAGCCCCAGAGGAGGTTGAGGAACTTGCCCAGGGTGCCACAGGTAGTAGGTAGAGAAACCAAAGTTGAAACGAAGAGTCGCAGATTCAGGGTGTTGTGTACCCTTTCCATACTGACTCACTGTGCCCCAGGAATAGAACAACAGGTAGCTTATTTGCTTATACTGTATTATTTACAGTATATATATAATACATATAGAAAAAAGAAAAGTGCTCAAGGAGGTTGCTTGGGTGGTGAGGGCTCCGCCCCTTTAAGTTCCATGGATTCTTAGATCTGCAAAGAACTTTTAGAGATCATCTTGTTCAGTCCTCTCATTTTATGAAAAGTATTCCTAATGATGATTTATCAGGTCCTCGAAAGAAAATATAGTAAAATTCCGGGTAATAATGTGGGAAGTACTGAATTTTGAACACTTCTGTAAAATGGAAAAGTTTGAACGTTTATAGTGCAAAAATTCAGTAAGCACTATTGGCGTATCAACCTGTGATTTATAGCTGTGCTGGGATTCTAGTATTAACTCTAAACTCTGACTTTTATACTATAGGAGATTAATAAAAGAATAGCGTAACACTTTAAACCAGTAGCTCTCAACTTCTGGTCTGGGGACCTCTGAAGGGGTCCCGAGACCCTTTCAGGCACTCTAAGATTTCAGAATTATTTTTGTAATTTACTAATATGTTATAATTTCTAATACAGTAAATATCAATAGATATATAATCCATATAAACAAAAGTTCTTTGGAGGGAGAGTTCTCAGTTTTTAAAAGTGTAAAAAAAAGGGCCCAAGACCAGAACTGTTGAGAACCTTTGCTGTGTGTTATAGAAACATTGGCCTCTACTAACCCAGTTAGGAGTTTTTCACTCCTCCTTCCTACCCCCCAAGAATATGGCATTTCTGCTTTTAAGATTTCAGCATTTAAGGAGCAGTGTGAAGGAAGACAGATTCTGTCCTTAGTACTTGAAGTCATCCAAAGTGTAATTGATAGGACAGAAAGATTATATACTAGTTGTTTCTAAACAACATATATTTGTTGGGGATTTAAAATGAGCATTTGTATAGCAATGGGAAAACCTAAGTGCTTAAAAACATTTATGGTAAATGCAGCACATGGGAAGTTTATAGGGTTGGTCAAGCTGAAAATCAACACTTTACATCTAGAAGAGAACAGTTGAGTATGTCTGCCTCTGGACTGGCATGAGGGATAGGTAGGAACCACTTTAGGGTCAGTGGGTGGCTTGGGATAAATCAGTGTCTTCAGTTGTCTCATCTCTGAAATATGGCTCCTCCTACCAATCTGCACCAGCTTCTTAGAAGTAGTAGTTATGTCATTTTATGGTTAAAACTGTGAAACTGTCTTTAGGGTAACAAGATATTTACTGTTTCTGCATTGATACTTCTGGACACTATGCTCATTCATTTTTCTGGAGAATAGCTTTACAGAATCAAGTCAAAAATCCCTGTCATTTTAAAGGTAACATTCTGTGGATCCTAATAGTGAGGTATCAAACATGGCCATGAATATTTTAGGTTCTTTTTTGGCTTTTAAAAATGATAAAAAGGTGTGTAGCTGCATTTAAAAAAAAAACAACAAAAACTTGATTGCCACAGAACTGCTAATGCCACTGCCTTTTTTTTTAGGTTTTATGAATAGAACCCAGATATTTTTGGGTAGTTTGGAAGAGAGGTTTTTGAGAATTTTTTTCTGCCTTTGTACAGTTAAACAGAACAAACTTAAAATTGTTGAGACGACTTCATTTTCTCTACCCACTACTTTGCAAATTGTTTTTAATTAGATCCTTAGTAACATCATGTCTAAGTTTAGTGTTTTAGTTACATAGCTGTGGTGTCCAGACTTCTCAAGAGTCTAGTTAGATAGTCATAACTATTTTCTTCAAGTTACCATCAAAGCAAATGTAATCTTTTTATTTTCCCCACAGAAAGAAGTTCTGGTATGAAAGTCCTTCCCTGGGACCTCACCTAGTAAGTAAAGGGTGGTGATGGTAAAATTTGAGTCCTAGAATCTTTTGCTAGGTAAGCCTGGACATGTTTATAAGTGTATCATTCTCATTCCTCTGCAGGGTTGGAGAGAAGATGCATTTATTAGAATAAGGAAAATTTGCTCTTTTTGTGGAGAGCACAGGATTATTTACTAACACTTTTCTGAAATCTGTCTAGTTACAGATTAAGGGAATGTGATTGATTTAATTTATAGCTGTCTCAAATACATTGCACACACACAAAAATCTATGTGGACTGCTAATGAATTTAGATTTACAGATAGTCACATAAAAGTAAATACACAGTGTTGGTGAATGCTTCTATCTAACAGGGTTACTATATTAATACCAAAAAAGTCACCTGTAAAATAAACAATTAGCATTTTCTCACTAAAAGCAAAAACAACTCAGACTGATTTTTGTGGGCTGTTTACATTTATAGATGTGGCTAGATGCCATTTGAACAATCCTTGATATCCTTTCCTTTGAATTTTATAGGAGTTGAATCTACCAAGATATTAGTAATTTTTAACCTGTTTGTTCTTTTTCTCTCTGAAGACACACAATACATCCAGCTGGGAAAATCTAACAAAACATACTTCAAAGAAGACGAGGAAAGAAGACAGCATACGCAAAAGGGCCCTGGATGGCATTCTTTGTCGAGCATTGTCAGATTTGATCTCTACCTCTGAAGTGAATCAAGATGTCTATGATCTGAATGTGGAATTTTCTAAGGTAAGTCATAATGGCCACAGTTTCTGAAGAATTGTGCCATTGGAAGGTTTAGGACTCATGTAGATTATGCATGAGGAGGCCTCTCCTCTCACGTTGACAGTTACCATTTCATGCCCAAAGACTAGTTGTAGGTTGTGGGGGGTAGTAGTAAAACTTATCATATAAAAAAGCTAAAAGGGAAAATTAGAATGTGCAGGTGCAAGCAAATGCATAAGTAGAAGGATAGAATTCTAGGAGATGTGAGGATGAGGTGAGTAGGTCAGTTGTTTTTGTTTTTGTTTTTATTTCTTAACCTCAAGTAAACTATTTCCTGTGGGCAGCTAGGTGGTTCAGTGGGTAGAATGACAGGCCTGGAGGTAGGAAGACCTGAGTTCAAATCCAGCCTCAAACACTTACTACTTGTGTGACCCTAGGCAAGTCACTTAACTGTGTTTGCCTCAGTTCCTCATCTGTAAAATGAACTGGAGAAGGAAGTGGCAAACCACACCAGTATCTTCCCAGAAAAACCAAAAGGGTCACAAAGATTTGGACACTACTAAAAATGACTAAATGACAATAAAAGCAATTTTCCACCATCCTTTTAAAGTGAATTCTGCCCATAGCAGGAAGAGTACTGGAAAGAAAAGGTCTGCATGGTGGTCTTTTCTTCTTTTTACCACGTTGAGTACCAGTGGGGTGAGTATACTAAGTGTCATGGGAGCCAAATATGGAGGTAATTAAGTGGTTTGTAGAAACATAGTAGTGACTGTATTAGATGATTTCTTAGGTCCTTTCCAATTCTGTAGTTTTTTGATTGTAGAGAATCTGTAATCTGTTCTGAGTGATGACCAGACCAACAAACATTATGTTTTTCACTATGTGCCAGGCACTGAGAGGCCCTGGGGCTACACAGACGAAAACAGAGTGGTCCCTGCTCCCAAGGAACTTTCTCTACTGGGGAGACCATTTGTCTGACTACTTGTCAGATCTGTTGTAAATGGGATTCTTGTTCAGAAATAGCTGGGACTAGAGGGGCTCTGAAGATCCTTTTAGTTCTTGAGCTTCTGTAAAATGTTGAGGCTTTGTATATTTAATCATCTCTACTCTCCCACTGCCACAGCAATAATTGCGTTGTTTACACTCTAGGAGAGTAAGACCCCTGGGGTAACCACTGGCCACAAAGAGTTGGGGTGTTTGTGAAGTTGTGAAGAGTTACATACTAGTTTTTGTTATTCACTGAAATAATTTTTTGGATTCGCAAAGCTTTGGAGAACCGACACCTCATTAAATTATTATTTTTGTTGTTGTTGGGGGGTGGTGGTGGTGTTTCAGGTATCTCTTGCTCCAGATTTCTCAGCCTGTCGTGTGTACTGGAAGACATCCCTCTCCGCTGAGCAAAATGATCACATAGAAACAGTTTTACGGAGGAGTGCTTCACGTTTCAGGTGCTACCATTTTGCTTTCTAAATGATTCTATATTTTAGTTTTCATCCTGTACTAAGGCTTTCCCTCAACCTACCAGTGTCTTATTTGTAGTTAAATAGTCTTAGATTTTCCCTTATTAATTACATTTCCTTTTATGGAAAGTGTTGAGTAGTTTTCTAGGAAATTCATTGCATATTTTGGCATTTCACAGAAAGCATTTTCTATTTAGTGCTTTCAAATTTTTGTTTTCCTCAGGCTTAAAGTACACAAATAAAGCCTCATTAACTGAAACGCAGTTCAGTTAAACATTTTATTGTTTTGAGGAAGAAACAGAGTTTATAAAAGAGGGTCTTGTTCACCTCAACTAACTATAGTCTTCAGTTAATCAAAACTCCCTGTTTTACACGGTACTTTTAGATGAAAGCAGCACATTTCAAGAACATCAGCTCATATAAAGAATTTAATTTTTTAAAAAGTAATTTATGGGCAGCTTCCTAGGATAAGCACACTGCTGTTCCTCAGTCGTTAGAATTGTGTCTGACTCATCATAACTCCTTTTGAGATTTTCTTGGCAAACATAGTAGAGTGGTTTGCCATTTCCTGCTGCAGCTCATTGTACAGATGAGGAAACTGAGGCAAACAGGGTTAAGTGTCCTGCCCAGGGTCACACAGCTAGTAGATATCTGAGGCTGGTTTTAACCTACCTCCTCTGCCTACCTCTAGTCTCAGCACTCTATCCACTGCAGCACTTAGCTGCCCAGAGGGAAGCATATATTTTTGCCCAGTCTTCTTTATCTGTACTAAAATGCCATGAAAATTGGTGTGTATGATGATGGTTTTGAAGGTATTTTGCAATCCGAAAATACAAATCCCAGAAAGGTTAAATTGTATTCTCTATAATAATAAATGAAAGGATATACAGTCATATTTTCTAAAATGTTTTATTGATGATCTTTTGATGTATTATCACTTCTCATTGACTCCAATAGAACATTCCTGCATAGTAATCAATAGCTTAGTATAGCTGAACGACATGAAACATATTAGCACATTGTTGTTTTATTGTTCAGTTATGTCTGGCTCTTTGTGACCTCGTGGACCATAGCATGCCACGTCCTTTTGTCCTCCACTGTCTTTCAAAGTCTGTCCAAATTCGTGTTTGTTGTTTCCATGATACTCTATCCATCTGAACCTCTGCCATCCTCTTCGCCTTTTGACTTCAATCTTTCCCAAAATCAGTCTTTTCCATTGAGTCCCATCTTCTCATTATGTGGCCAAAGTATTTAAGCTTCAGCTTCAGTATTTGACCTTCCAATGAATAATCTAAATCGATGTCTTTAAGTATTGAATGATTTGATCTTCTTTGCTGTTCAAAGGACTCTCAAAAATCTTTTCCAGCACCACAATTTGAAAGTGTGAGTTTTGCAGCACTCAGCTTTCCTTATAGTCCAACTTTCACAGCCGTACATTGCTCCTGTAAAAACCACAGCTTTGTGGACTTTTGTTGGCAAGGTGATGTCTCTCTTTTTAGTATGCTGTCCAGGTTTGCTATAGCTTTCCTTCCAAGGAGCAAGCATTTTAATGGCTACAATCACTATCTACCATGAGCTTTGAGCCCATGAATATAAAATCTTATACTGTTTCCATTTCTCCTCCCTCTATTTGCCAGGAAGTGATGGGACCATTTGCCAGGATCTTAGTTTTTATGTTTAGCTTCAAGCCAACTTTTACACTCTCCTTTTTCTCCCTCATCAAGAGGCTTCTTTCACTTTCTGCTATCTAGTATTGTCTGCATATCTGAGATTGTTGATGTATCTCCTGGCAGCCTTAATTCTGGCTTTTGATTCATCCAGCCTGGCATTTCACAGGATGTACTCTACATGTAAGTTAAATAAATAAACTGACAGTATACAGCCTCGTCATATTCCTTTTCTGATTTTAAACCAATCAGTTGTTCTGTGTTCAGTTCTAACTGTTGCTTCTTGGCCCTCATTCAGGTTCCTCAGGAGACAAGTAGTTGATCTGGTACTCCCATCTCTTTGAGGACTTACCATATTTTGTTGTGATCTACAAAGTCAAAGGCTTTAATGTAGTCAGTGAAGCAGAATTAGATGTTTTTCTGGAACTGCCTTGCTTTTTCTATAATCCAGCAAATGTTGGCAATTTGGTCTCTGGCAGAGGATCTGCCTCTTTGAAAACCAGCTGGTAGTTTTGGTTCACATATTGCTGAAGTCTAGCTTGCACAATCCTAAACATAACCTTCCTGGTATGTGAAATTAGCACAATTGTGTGGTAATTTTAGCATCGATTCCCCTTCTTTAAGATTGGAAAATAAATTGATCTTTTCCAATCCAGTGGCCACTGTTGTGTTTTCCAAATTTGCGGGCATATTGGGTGCAGCACTTTAATAGCTTCATCTTTTAGGGTTTCCATTGGAGAAGGAATTGGCAAAACACTCCAGTATCTTTGTCAAGAAAAACCCACAGACAGTAATAAAATGATAAAAGAGATGACATCGGTAGATGAGCCCCTAAGTTCAGAAGATGTCTAATACTCTACTATTGAAGATAGAGGACAGCTACAAATAGCTCCAGTACTAATGAAGTGACTGGGCCAAAGCCTAAAGGAAGTTCAGTTGCAAACGTTTCTGGTGATGAAAGGAAAATCCAATGCTGTAAAGATCAGTATCACATAGGAACCTGGAATATTAAATCTGTGAACTAAGGAAGCTGGATATGGTCAAACAGGAGATGGAAAGATTTAATATTGACATCTTGGATGTCAGTAAACTTAAATGGACAGGAATGGGTGAATTTAATTCAAATGATCACTATATATACTGCTTTGGGCAAGAATCCCTTAGAAGAAATGGAGTAGTCTTCATAGTCAATAAAAGTGTGAGAAAAGAAGCACTAGACTGTAGTCTCAAAAGTGACTGAATGGTATCTGTTCAAATCCAAGGCAAACTGTTTAACATCATAGTAATACAAATCTATTCTCTAACCACTGATGCCAAAGATGCCAAAGTTGGTAAGTTCTATGAAGACCTACAACAGCTTCTAGAAATAACAACAAAAACAATGTCCTATTCATCATAGGGGATTAGAATGCTAAAATGGGAAATCAAAAGAGAATTGGAATAACAGCCAAGTTTGGTCGTAGAGGACAAAATGAAGCAAGGCAGAGGCTAATAGAGTTTTGTCAAGATAATTCATTGGTCATAACAAACACTCTTTTACAATACTCCAAAACCGACTCTACACATGGACATCACCAGAGGGTCAACATAGAAATCTGATTGATTATATACTTTGCAGCCGAAGGCAGAGAAGCTCTATACAGTCAGTTTAAACAAGACCTAGAGCTGACTGTACCTCAGATCATGAGTTTCTTATTGCAGATTTCAGGCTTAAATGGAAGAAAGTAGGGGAAACCATTAGACCATATAGCTATGACCTAAACAACATCAACACATTGGTCACATCTGAAAATATATACCTTATTCTGTACCTATATTCTACCACCTCTGGTAAGAGGAGCAAGGTATACTTTGAAATCACAATTGGTTCAGTAGTGTTTTCTTTTAGAGTATTGTGATAATTGGGTAAGTTATTCATCTGATCCTGCTTACTTCACCCTGCACAGTTCAGATGGTCCTCCAGCATTGGATCAGAGACATGTTAAAACTTAAACCAGGGGTGGGAAACCTGCGGCCTTGAGGCCACATGTAGGTGGCCTTGAAGCTGCAGGTTCTCCCCCTACCCAGCCCTGCTGATAAACCATCCAAAGCTGAACAGAGCATCTTTTACCTTATCCCATTGTCTCTTCCAAACTTCATTATTTCTGACTAAGGTACCACCATCCTTCTTCTCTCCTAGGTTTATCACGTCAGCATTATCCTGGATGCCTCATTATCCTTCTCTCCACATATACAGTCAGTCGCCAAATCTTCCCATTTCTCTATCTGTACAACATCTCTCACATGCAGCCTCTTCTCTCTGCTTACATAATGACCACCCTAATTTAGGCCCTCTTCACTTCTTGGTTGTATTATTTCAACAGCCCCCTAATTGTTTTCCCTCCTTCACCTGTCCCATTCCTCCAGTCCATCCTACATACTGGATAGTGATTTCTTTAAGCACAGGTCTGGTAACGTGACTCCCTTACTCAATTAACTCTAATGGTTTCCCCTAGAGCTTCTCTAGTTGGCTTTTAAAGACCTAGACTACCCCTTGACCTGTCTTTCTAATCTCCCTGTATTGCTCTCTAATTCAGCTAAGCTGACCTTCTTTCTGTTCCTCACATGTAAGACTTCATCTTCCATTTCCCTGTCTTTACAGGAGCCATCCTCCATGCCTGAAATATACTCTATCCTTACCACCCCTTCATAGAGTTGCCCTCTTCCTTGAAGATACAGCTTAAACTCTTGTCTTCTATTGGAAACCTTTCCTGATCCCCTTTTCTCTCTCCGATACTACTTTGTACATACTTATATTTATTAACTTTATGTTTATGCCATATATATTTTCATATTGTCTCCTTCCTTATAATGTAAGCACCTTAAGAGTAGAGATAGTTTCATTCTTTGTACTTGTATCCCTGGAACCCAACACAGTGCCTTGTACATTACAACATTTATGTTACTTACAACAATACGTAAATAACTGTAAATAATGTCTTGCATGTAGTAAATAATAAATATTTTGATATTTGTTTATTAATTCCTGTTTGTCATTTCTTACAATACAATTTGTTCTGCCTTTCTCACTTTGGTCCCTATTTTGTTTCCAGTTCTTTGCTATTATAAAAAGTGCTACTATAAATATTTTTGTGTATTTGTGATCTTTCCCTCTTTCTTTTACCTTGGAGTATGTGCTGGTATTGCTGGATCAAAGAGTACAAATAGTGATTTTTCTGGCATAATTCCAAATCATTTTCCAGGATGACTAGACCAAGTCATAGTTCCGCCTTGTGCATTAATGAGTCTGTCTGTCCACAGTACCAATATTGTTTACAATTTCTATTTTTTATCATCTTTGCTAATCATGGTTGTGAAATAAAAGTTCGGAGAGGTTTTGATTTTTCTTATTAGTGATTTGGATCATTCTTTCATGTGATTGTTGATAGATTGAATTTCTTCTTTTGAAACAACCTGATCCTGTTCTTTGGCCACTTACCTATTAGGGAATGGCTCCTCTTCTATAGAAGGCAACCTGATACTGGACTTGCATTCTTAACCTCAGTTTCCTTATCTGTAAAATAGAGATAATAATAGCTCCTACCATAATAGCTCAGGTTTGTTGAGTTTCAAGGTGATATGTGTAAAGTACATTGCAAACTTTAAAGATCTATATAAATGTTAGCTATTATTAGCAATTATATGTTGGTATCACTTCCTTATATATCTTGAATGTCAGACTTTTTTCAGAGATAGTTTTAGCAAACATTTTTTTTCTTATTTCAGTTTCTTATTTTTTAAATGCAAACTTTAGAAAAAATTATGTCAAAAAATATTTTATCTTTTGATTACTTTTATGCTTTGGTTGAGAATTTTTCTTCTGGGGCAGTGCAAAGTACTTTCTTTTCTCTACTCATTTTTTTTTATATGATGTGATTTATATTTAGGTCTTGCCTCCTTTTGGAGCTGTTGTTTCACATGGTGTAAGATTTTGTACTAAATCTCATTTCTGCCAGACAGCTCTCTAGTTTTCTCATCAATTCTTGTCAATATGGAGTTCTTACCCTAGTGGTTTGTGATTCTGGATTTATGGAACACAAGGCTATTCTGTTAAGTTGCTTCTGGGTCTTGTTTACCAAGTTAATATTTTAGAAAGATTTTCAGTAACATAATTTATCTTATTAACTTTGAGATAATTCACTTACCCAGAGTATTCTGTTCCTTTGACCCAGCAATTCTACCATTGGACATATACTGTAAGGAAGTCAATGATAGAAAACAAGGTCCAGTATATTCCAAAATATTCATAGCAGCGCTCTTTATGGTAGCAAAAACTCAAAATAAAGTAGTTCTGTCCTGTTTGAAGAATGGCTGAAAAACTGTGGTATGTGGATCTAATGGAATATCATTGGGCAATAAGAAATGATGAATATGGTGAATTCAGAGAAAACATAGAAATATTTTATAAACTGGTAGATGATGAAATAAGTACAATCAAGAGAATGGTGTATGTAGTGATTGCAGTAAAGTAGATTAAAAGATCACTAAAAAGTGAGCTGAGTAATTAACCTTTGAATATCTAGGTGAATACATACTTCAGTACATACAGAACCAAGAAACCTGTAGAACAGAATATTGCAAAAGTTATAAGATGTGGTCAGTGTATTAAATGTTTTTGGTTGTTTCTCAGTTGTCACTAGTGAAGATTTAGTCTACAGTGGGATAGTTGACTATTGTAAGGACAAAAGATGTAAGTAAAAGTATTTAAAGGAAAAGGATATTCCTTTCCTCAAGCTTTTGAATATTTGAGATTTTACTTTATAGTAAAGACTGTATTATATCATTAAGCACTAAGGAATTTTTTTACATATGTGTTCTCACTACAGATTTAAATATTGTCATAATCTTTTTTATGAAAGCTAAACTTGTGTTACAAGAAAAAATTATATGAAATTATATATCAGATATAGTGCTTGGCAGTACTCTTAAAGAAGGCATGTAGGTAGCACAGTAGATAGAGTGCCAGTCCTGGAATCAGAAAAGCTACCTTCCTGAGTTCAAATCCAGTCTCACATACTTACTAGCTGTAACCCTCGGAAATTAGCTTAACCCTGTTTGCCTCAGTTTCCTCATATGTAAAATGAGCTGGAGAAGAGAATGGCAAATCCCTCCAGTATCTTTGCCAAGAAAACCCTAAATGGTGTCGTGAAGAGTCAGACACAACTGAAAAAAACAACAACAAAAGTATTTTTAAATTATGTATAATAATAACAGGATAGGAAACGGTAACTTGTGGTATAGGGAACTATCAGATGAAGAAAATCCCTCTACAAATGCAAGTTGACACCTTTTCTGGAACTTTATAGTCTTAGTAAGTTTCCTGGAGCACTGAGAAGGTAAGTGACTTGCCCAGGGTCACATAGCCAGTATATTTTAGAAGCAGGACTTGAATTCATGTCTTCCTGGTTCTGAGGCCTGCTTTCTATATACTATGCCATATATTGCCTTTATGTAATATTAGCTAACATTTATGTAGCACTTGAAGATTTGCAAAGCAGTTTACATGTATTATCTCATTTGATTAATAATAATCAGATAAGGTGTCAGAAAGCCTACGTTCAAATACCAGCTCAGCTATTTATTCAACAAATGTTTATTAAACACCTACTATTTACTAAGCGCTTATTAAATGCTAGGCACTGAGGATACAAAGACAACATTTAAAGCAGTCTCCACTCTTGAGTTTATATTTTTCTGGGTTGGAATAAAAAATGAATAGAAAAATAAATTCAATAAAATTGAAGGAGAAAGTACTAACAGTGCTAAGGGAGTCAGGAGATAATTACCTTGGGAGATGAGCACAGTGGATAAAGTGCTGGGCCTGGAGTCAGGAAGACCTAAGTTCAAATGTGGTCTTGGGATATTTTCTAGCTGTGTGATCTTCAGTGAGTCACTTAACCTCTTTTTGCCTCAGTTTCCTCAACTTTAAAATAGGATAATAACAGCACCTGCCTCTTAGAGTTGTTGTGAGAATCAAATGAGATAATATTTGTATTAGCTTAGCACAGTGCCTGGCATATTGAAGCTATATAAGTATTATGTGTCACTTGAGTTGAGCCTTAGAGAAGACTATATAGCTTTAAGGAAGTCATAAAACTTTTTTTGGCCTCTTCTGTATAAGGGGATTGAATTATTTCTCTGGTCCCTTTTAGGTCTAAATTCTGTGATCTAGTGAATTCTGTCTTATTCACTTAATTTTGAATAATGAAGTTTTTAAGCTGAGTTTTACAGAATCATTACCAACAAATTTTTCACTTCGTAATATACTAACTAAAAGGCATGGTTGATCAGAAAGCTTGTGATTTTATACAGCTAGGTGGCACAGTGGGATGAAGTGCTGGGGCTTAAGTAAGGTAGACCTGAGCTGAAATCCTGCCTCAGAAACTATCTGTGTGACCCTGGGCAAGTGGCTTAAATGCTCTCTGTTTAAGATTCCTCAGCTGTAAAATGAGGAAAATAATAACACCTATTTTGCAGGGTTGTTGCAAGGTTCAGATGAGGTATTTGTAAAGCACTCAGCACAGCGCCTGGCACACTGCTTATTAAATGTTCGTTTCCTTTCCTCCTTAACACAAGTCAGTATTTAAAATATTATGATATAATAGAAAGAGCCCTTGACCTGCAGTTAGACATGGTTTTGAATATGGGCTTTGATTTTTCCTTACTCTATGTTAGTTGCTTTACCTCTCTGAATTTCAGTTTCTACATCTGTAAAATAAGGATAATACTTGCACTAGTTATGCCTCAGAATTGTTGTAAAGAAAGTATTTTCAAAATAAAATATTATAGAAGGTATGAATTTTTGCTATAAAAATACTTTAAGAGACCTAATTTTAAAAAAAATAGTGTAATTATAACTCTGCATTGTAATATTTTTTCTCTTGTCACAGTGGACTGCAGGAGACTTTTTTAGCTTGACATTTTAGTTCTAGAAGGTTAGATTTCTAAACTAGCTACTTGCCTCTGATTGTAAGTCATGATGTGTTTTTTTTTTAACATCATCACACTTCTCCAGTAAATGTCATGGTAAAGCTGAGTAACTCTTTAGGCCTTCTGTTCTTTTTAGGCATCTTTTGATTACCCATCAAATCCTAAGAAATGTTCCTCCAGTAGTATTTATTCGTGATAAAGAAAGTGCAGCAATAGCAGAGGTAAGTAAATCTTAATATCTGGTGCCACATATAAGTAACATTAGATTGTTGGTGTGAATTTTATTTTGCAGATATATTATTTTCCTTGCTAGGAAAATGTACTTTTTCAATCTTGCCTTGGAAAAGGAATTAAATTATAGGGACAGGAGAACTTCATATGAATGTGTTGAAAGAACTTGAAATTAAATCTATTAATATTTAAATTATTATCCCCAACCTTTTCCAGGTAATAGATTTAGAACTAGAAGGGACTTCATAGGCTACAGCCCCTTCATTTTTCAGATGAAACTAAGGCACAGAGAGGTTAAGTGAGTTGCTTAGGATCATACAACTAGTAACTGTCTGATTTCCTGTCCATTTATGTCCCAAGTGTAAAGGAGCCCTATCTTTTATACCATACTGTCTCAATTAAATGAGGATCTAGTTTTCATTTTCTTAAAATCTCTTTTCATTCGACAAGTTTTTGGGGTTTTTTTTTTATTGATTGCTAGATGTAAAATACTGTCTTGGGGTTGAGACAAGGGGTACTGCCATTGCAGCTTATGTAGGGAATGATGGGGCTGGAGGCATTTTCTGATCACATTTTCCTCTTTACTGAAATTGCCTTTCGGCCATAGGAAAAAGGAAATGGCAACCTTTCCTACCCATCATTACACTATGACATTCGAACTTGTTAGTGATGACTTGGTGAAACAACTAACCTTTCAAAAGTTGCAGATCTTCTGGTCAGTCCTAATTCGTTCTTTGAGATCTCTGTAGAAAATTCCAGTTTTATTGTAGACTTACACAGTTTGTGAGATTTGTGCTAAAGGTGATAGGCAAGATAATTTTCAGTGATGTGACCTTTGGCATAGTTATGAAGTAGATGGATTTTGTCTGTGATAATCTTCAACTCTCCCTTTCCTAACCCTATTTCTCTCTCAATCCCTTCTCTTTCTTGTATCTTACTTTTGTCAATTGGTATTTAGCTTATAGCCGGTTAAGATACAAAAGCAGAAAAGATCTTCAGACTGGAGGCAAAGGGTCTATGTCCAATTCCTTTAGCTTTATCCTTGGGTAGCACTTATTTCCTTTGGGCAAGTCACTTAATCTTTTTGACACTTTGTTTTTTCATATGTAAAATAGAGATAATAATACTAGATATATTCTTTCCAGAAATTTTACATTTTAAAAGGGAGAATATGAAGGTGGTAGAGCTGCTTTGCTTTCTCCACTTGAAAAAATGGAGACTTTTAATTTCCCACTCTAGTTTTGCAGGGATCTAGGCTCTTAGTTATTTAATGATATATCAGGGATCTGGGATTTCATTAGTGTGGGTGTTCTTCTACTTACACCAATTGCAGCTCCTTTATAACTTAAAATAGATGGTCCTTAAGAGTTGTTGGCCACCCTAGAGCTGGCCAACTAAACTTCATTGGGTTGGTTGTCATCCAACAGGCACATGAACTATCATCATCAGAACTGTATTTGAAGCTTTTCCAGCTTGTTAGGACCTGCCAAAATTTGTGCTCCATTAGCATAGCCTTGGCCTTTGGAGAACTCAGAGTCAACTACATGTCAAACATGTCAAGATACAGCATTCAAATAGGTCTTTAGTGGAAGTTGATTATAGCAAATGAAATAAATCTCTTAAATATTTTTTGAAAAACCATAATTGTCAAACTCCAAAAACATTACTTGGAGAGAACAACTTTGACGAAATATGTTTTTCCCAAGAAATGAAACCTGAAATGTTATGGTTGGTTTGGCATTTATTAAATAATGCTGAGATATTGATCTAATTCAGGCATTTTCTGTTTTTAGAAATAATAAATTCATGGAAAAGTCTGAAAAGGTGGATTGCTGTAAAGTGAAACCCTGTTGTTAGATTTGGACATAACTAGAAACTAGTGGGGTGCTGGAAAATGACACAGACCTTTTTATTAGGCAGCCAGTGAAAGGACTAGTGAAATGGCATAAAGTAATCTTCCTCTTATCCTTTGTCACCCTAAAATACTTTACAAATGTGGTCTTACCTGTGTGTGGTCATTGCCTGCCATCTGTCTTCCTTGTAGTTAACTTATTCCTTCTCTTTTAAGTCAAGGCTACACAGCAAGTTGGAGATAGTGCTTTAGCATAAAAGTCATATTTTGATGCCTCCATAGTCATTCATTTGCATTGCTTCTTTTACAAGCTACTCAGCAGTCTTTTAGCCCACAAGAAAGGATTGGGGGATGTTATGAAAAGGAAGATTTGATGGCAGTATTTGAAACATTTTTCAAAAATACTTTAAACACCCAAGAGAAATACTTATGGGAATGAATCAAGGCTGCACATGAAATCAGTTCAGATGGTTCAGCACTTCAGAGAAAATAGTAAATAACCAATAAGTGCCTACTTTGTGCCAAAGATTCAAGGAAATAGTTTGAAAAGCCTGGCTGTTTCTCAGAATATTGTGACATATAGAAAGAATCATGCCAATTCAAGTTTGAGCCCATTTTAGGCTTAACAGCATTATTAAAATTTGTAAATATAATTTTATCAGGGGTGGGGAACCTGTGGCCTCGAGGCCACATATGGCCTTCTAGATCCTTGGATGTAGCCTTTTGACTGAGTCCAGGTTTTACAGAACAAATCCTTTTATTAAGAAGATTTGTTCTGTGAAGTTTGGATTCTGTCAAAGGGCTATACCTAAAAGGCCTCATTGCCTCGAGGCTACAGGTTCCTCACCTGTTTTAGATAATAACTCACCTCTATGTGATACTTTAAAGTTTACAAAGTACTCTTAAGACAGGTGGGATTGTGCAGGTATTGAAAGTATAAAGATTGCCATTTTGATGATGAAGAAACTGAGGCTTTAGAGATGAAGTGATACCCAGGGTGATGCAGCTAGAATCATGGAATCCTACAGTTACATGGGACTGACCTCAGTCATCTTTTCTAGCTCATACCTGAAGAGAAATATCTCCTTCAACATCCCTGTGGAATGATTACCCGATTCTTAATGATCTCCAGCAAATGGGACTCACTATCTTCTAGGACAGCCTGTTGTCTTTTTTACAACTCTTATTTAGAAATGTTTTTCTTGCTTCTAGGTTAAACCTTTCTTTCTGTAACTTATACTCATTGTTCATTTGGCTCTGGAACCAAGCAAAATAAGTCTGATCCCTGTCTGTAGGAAAGTCTTTTAGATATATGAAATATCCATTAAATCCCTTCTAAGTTTTCTCTTCTTTAGGATAAGCATCCCCAGTTCTTTCAGTTGATCTTTCTATGATATAATCTCCAATATTCTCCCTCATCACCCATTTTTGGACATATTCCAGCAGGCCTTAAAGTGTGGTTCTTAGATCTGCACATAGTGTTCAAACACAGGTGTTTTCTAACCTGTGTAAGGTACAGAAGGATTTTCACATCCCCTTTCTGGATACTATGCTTCTCTTAAGGCAACCTAGGAGCATTTGCTTTCTTTGCTGCCATTTAAATTGTTGACACAGAACTTGTAGTCCACTGAACTTTCCAGTCTACTTCAGACTATTCCCCCATCTTGAACTTGTGAAGTTTTTTTTTTAAACTGAAGCATAAGACTTTATATTGATCTCTGTTAAATCTCATCTTATCAGATGAGGCAAATTGTTTTAGCCATTAAAAACCTTGTGGGTCTTTCTTTGTCATCTACAAATTTGATAATCATACCATCTCTGCCATTGACCAAATCATGGATTACAATACTAAACAGCATAGGGCCCAGAACAGATCCCAGGGGCATTATTTAGAGATCTCTTTTCAGTTGACATTGGCTTGTCTTTTTGTTGGATCATTCAGCCAGTTCCAAGTGGTATATAGAGTGTTCTGGGGAGACTAGAATAGTACCTCTGGTTTGAGGGCTTGCCTTCAAATCCTTTTTAGGGTTGCTCATCCCCTTTTGGTATCTACCTGTCACCCGGCTCTTACCTGTGACTTCAAGAAGCTGTAGCATGCACAGTGGCCACACCCCAGTAAAACCATCTGGGTAGACAGGTAAACTAGGTTGAGGGTAACTGGCAGGTTTCAGACCCCTCTGAATTAGGGGGATACCTACCCCTGGCAGTATGGTGCGATGAGAACAGTTTGTTCCAGCAGCCATGAAGGTGGCTGAAGGAGGTGCTGTGGAGCGCTTAGAGCTTAGTCAGACATAAAAGACCAGGGTCATTAACTGCATCCTGGGCCATTGCCAGTCATCTTGATTTTGTCTTGCCACTGGACTTCAGTGACTCTGGAGGAAAGTGTGAGGCTGATGACTTTGTGCATCTCTGCCTCACTTAAATCCAATTCATGATCAAGTCAGGACCTCACCCTTGTGATGTCATTGGTCCTCTTCGAAACAAAGGATGAACGAACAGCAACAACAACGTGCTAGAATTTTGTCAGAAATTGAAGTTCAGCTTACCACGCTGTGTAGTGTGTGGACTTAACTTTCTCCCTCCTTTAAAAAAAATTAGGACATTTGTCCTTTCCTTCCCACACATTCCATTACTCTCTCACCTTTAAAAGATTGTTGATAGCCATTCAGCAATCATAACTGCCAGTCATTTCAGAATCCTTTATGTAGGTTCTCTCCCAGCTCCACTCCTGATTCTAAACTTTTCTACCCCCTAACTAGCAGTCTCTTAACCTGGTGATGTCTCCGCTCCTTTGGTCTCTTTCTCTGATTTATGAGTTCCTGCTTGGGGAAGCACTCAGACTGTCTGGGTTCACTTCTCTCCTGGCCCCACTCCTGATTCTTTGTACTTTTCTACCATTTGTCCCTCTTTCCTGCCTCCTCTTATCAGTTGTCTTACCCTATTGACACACAGAGTAAAAATAATAGTTGAATAGTTCTGCCATCTCTCCACTGCCTGTTTTCATCATCTTGTCTACCCCAAGCAAAGGTACTAACCCTGCTTTGAGCTTCCATTTAGGTAGAACACAAACCAAAAAAAATCGCTTTGATTTTTCTTCAGGTAGTAAGTGAACTGGTTTTGGGTATATTGGTAGCAATAAATTTGTAAGTGTTGTAGCTAAGATTTGAACCCAGGTCTTTCTTAATTGAAAGTTTAATGCTCTTTTCACTAGAGCTTTATAGATGTAAATACTATCAAAATGTAGGTAACTATTTTAATTTATTTTTCAGGTAAATCGGTTATTGGAAATTGCTGACTTTGGACCCCCTGATGAAAAAGATTTGACACAAAGTGACCCAAGGTAAATAGCCTGATATTTCCTCCCATGCTTAGCCTCAATTGAAGCCTACTTTTGATGTTCCTAACACATGGTATAACTTCCTGTTGTACCAGAAGCACAATCAGAACACCCCCAGTTAGCATATATGTCTGTTGTATAAACTTTTCAAGGCTTATGATTTTATATGATCTTGATAATTTTGCTACATTTTAAATATTTTGGTGTGATGTTCTTTCCATTTACATTGTTATAGTTATATATATTGTTTTCTTGGCTCTACTTCACCCTGCATCAATTCCTATAGATACTTCTATGCTTCTCCATATTCATCACATTCAACATTTCTTACAGCAATGTAATATTCCATTTCATTCATGTACATAATTTGTTTAGCCATTCCCCAGTTGATAGGCATCTACTTTGTTTCCAGTTCTTAGTTATCACAAAAAAGTGCTGCTGTAAGTATTTCCGAATATATTGGGACTTTTTTCTTATTGATCACTTCCTTGGGGTATAAGCCCAGTAATAGAATCTCTGGTTCAAAGGATATGGACATTTTAGCTCTTTATTTGCGTAATTCCAAGTTGCTTTCCCAAATGGTTGTGCTGTTTATAGTTCCACCAACAATGTATTAGTATACCTATCCTTCCACAACTCCTCCACGATTGACTTTTGCCATTTTTGTGAATTTGTGGGGTATGAATAACACTTTTTTGCTCTGTTATATCTGTATTTTTTATCTAATTTTTCTCTACATGGCAACAATTTATATCATTGTTATATATAAAAAAATAATTTCAAGTAAGGTGAAGATATACATGTATGTATGTATACACATATATATACACATATATATGAAGTGGTATAGATTTTTTAATTTAAATACTTTGTTTTTCCCCAGTTACATGTAAAGACAATTTTTAACATTTTTTTTTCAAATTTTGAGTTCTGAATTTTCTTTCTCCCCTTCCCCCCATTCAGAAGGCAAGTAATTTGACTTGGGTTATACATGTGTAGTCATGCAAAACACATTTCTATGTAAGTCATGCTGTGAAAGAAATTTTTTAAAAAGTAAAGAAAAAGTATCTTTGATCTGCATTCAGGCTGTATCGGTTCTTTCTCTGGTGATGGACAGCACCTTTCATCACAGGTCCTTTAGAATTGTCTTAGATCATTGTATTGCTGAGAAGAGCTGAGTTATTCACAGTAGATCATCCTACATTATTGCTGTTACTGTGTACAGTGTTCTGGTTCTGTTCATTTCACTTTATATCAGTTCATGTAAGTCTTTCTAGATTTTTCTGTGAGCATCCTAATTGTCATTTCTTATAGCACAGTAGTGTTCAATCACAACCATATACAACAACTTGTTTAGCCAATTGATGGACATCACCTCCATTTCCAATTCTTTGCCACCACTGAAAGAGCTGCTATAAATATTTTTATCTCTTTGGGATACAGACCTAATAGTGGTATTGCTGAGTCAAAGGATATGCATGGTTTTATAGCCCTTTGAGCATTGTTCCAGAATGGTTGAATCAGTATACTTCACCAACAGTGCATTAGTGTTATAATTTTCCCACATCCCCTCCAACATTTATCATTTTCCTTTTCTGTCATATTGGCCAATTTGATAAGTATGTGGTGGTAGCTCAGAGTTGTTTTAATTTCCATTTCTCTAATGAATAGTGATTTAGAGTATTTTTTCATATGACTATAGATAGTTTTTATTACTTTGTCTGAAAGCTGCCTGTTCATAGCCTTTGGCCATTTATCAATGAGAAATGTCTTATTTCTTTACATTTGACTCAGTTTTCTCTATTTTTGAGAAATGAGGTCTTTATCAGAGAAGCTTAGTGTAAAAAATTTTTTTCACTGTAATGATTACTAACTATGTATTTCCGTCTGTCCTATTTTTCCTCTGTTTATCCTACCCTTTCCTTTCACCCTGTCCATTCTTGAAAGTATTTTACTTCTGGCTTTTACCTCCTCCCTTCTGTCAGCCCCCCTCCACCATCGTCCTTTCTCTTATCCCCTTCCCCTCTTATTTTTGGTGTGATAAGGTCGATTCTGTACCCGACTGAGTGTGTAGGTTATTCCGACTTTAAGCCAGTTCCAATGAGAATTCATATGCTTTCTCCCTGACCCATCTTCCACCTTCTTCGTCTTCACTGTAAAATCTCTTTTTGCCTTCTTTCATGTCAAATAACTTACTCCATTCTGTCTCTCCCTTTCCCTTTCTCCCAGTGCATTCTTCTTTCTCACCCCTTAATTTTATTTTTTTAGATCATCATGTTATCATATTCAGCTCAGACCTGTGCCCTCTGTCTATGTATATTCCATCTAACTGCCATAATAATGAGAAAGGTTTTAGTAATTACCAGTACCATTTCTCCATGTAGGAATGTTAACAGTTTAACCTTATGACAGTGAATCCCTTATGATTTCTCTTTCCTGTTTACCTTTTTATGCTTTTTTTGAGTCTTATATTTCAAAGTCACATTTTCTACTCAGCTCTGGTCTTTTCATCAGGAATGCTTGAAAGTCCTCAATTTCATTTCATTATACATTTTTTTTCCCATGAAGGATTATACTCAGTTTTGCTGGGTAGGTGATTCTTGGTTGTAATCCTTGCTCTTTTGCTCATATTCCAAGCCCTCTGATCCTTTAAGGTAGAAACTGCTAAATCTTGTGCTAGTCTGAGTGTGGCTTCTCAATATTTGAATTGCTTCTTTCTGGCTGTTTGCAATAGTTCTCCTTGATGTGGGGGCTCTGGAATTTGGCTATAATATTCCTGGGAGTTTTCATTTTTGGATCTCTTTCAAGAGGTGATCGATGGATTCTTTCCATTTCCATTTTGCCCTCAGGTTCTAGGGTATCAGGGAAGTTTTCCTAGATAATTTCTTGAAAAATGATGTCTGAGGGCAGCTCGGCAGATCTACAAGGATCATAGCATAATCCCACTATGTGCCTAACACTTAATAGTGTTCAAAAGATGGGTTGGGGGCCAGCTAGGTGGCGCAGTGGATAAAGCTCCAGCCTTGGTGTCAGAAGGACCTGAGTTCAAATGTGGCCTCAGACACATAACACTCACTAGCTGTGTGACCCTGGGCAAGTCACTTTAAACCCATCACCTCATCAAAAAAAAAAAAGATGTCTAGACTCTTTTTTTCATCATGCATTTCAGGTAGTCTGATAATTCTTAAATTATCTCTCCTGTATCTGTTTTCCAGGTCATTTGTTTTTCCAGTGAAATACTTCACATTTTCTTCTGTGTTTTCATTCTTTTCGTTTTGTTTTGTTTTTTGATGTCTCATCAAGTCATTAGCTTACACTTGCCCAATTCTAATTTTTAAGGAATTATTTTCTTCATTGAACATTTGGACTTCCTTTTCCATTTGGCCAGTTCTACTTTTTAAAGAGTTCTTCTCTTCAGTAAATTTTTAAATATATTTTTCCATTTGGCCATTTCCACATTTCAAGATATTTTCCTCTTCATTGTGTTTTTGTGCCTCTTTTACAGTTTGGCCTATTGTGTTTTTTAAGGTATTATTTTCTTCAGTATTTTTTGTGCCTACTTTATCAAGCTATTGACTCTTTTTTCATGGTTTTCTTGCCTCACTCTTATTTCTCTTTCCAGTTTTTCTTCTACATCTCTTACTTGATTTTTAAAATCCTTTTTGAGCTCTTCCATGACCTGAGGCCAGTTCATAGTTTTCTTTGAGGCTTTGGATGTAGGAGCTTTGACTTTGTTGTCTTCTTCTGAGTTTGTATTTTGATCTTCCCTGTCCCCAGAGTAACTTTCTATAGTTAGGATCTTTTCTGCTGTTAGCTCATTTTTCAACCTATTTCTTGACTTTTAAGTCAGTGGCAGAGTGGGGCACTGCTTCTCAAGTGGAAGAGTCACTGTCCCAAGCTTCAGGCTTTTTATGTAGCTGTTTTTAGAGGTAATTCTGGGAACCTGTAAGTTTTTGGTTCTTCCAAGGAGGTATGATCTAGGGAGAGGTGTGTTTACTACTTTCCTGTACTGTGCACTACTCTGTGAGCATCCACAAGTACTCTTTTCCACCCTGGAACTGTGACCAGGGTTCCAGCTCTCCTGTGGTTGCAAACTTTGGTGTATTAGTACTCCTCCTTGACCTGGGACTGAGGTAGAGGACTGTGACCCAGATCCAAATATGGGTGACATAAGAGGGTCCTGCCCCTGGTGCTAGCAAAGGGACCCCTGTAATCTTCTTCCGACCAGTTGTCAGACCCCCTTACCGTCTGTGGACTAAGAGGTCCAGAAACCACCACTACTGCAACAGACTGAGTTGCCCTGAAGGCCTGCTCCTGATTTGCTGGGGCCTGGTTTGTGCTAGCACAGCCTGCATTGGACTGTACTCCACTCTCACCCTGGTGCAACAGATCTTTTCTGCTGACCTTCTAAGTTGTCCTGGGTTGGAAAATTGTTTCACTCCAACCCTTTTTGGATAGTTTTATTAATGGGTCCTTTTTGGGTTCTGCTGTTCTAGAATTTGTTTGGGGGAATTATTTAAAGGTGTTTGGAGGAGTTTGGGGAAGAGCTCAAGCAAGTCCCTGCCGTTTCTCCACATTGTGGCTCTGCCTCCCTTCCTGATCCCTTGAAGTGATATAGATTGTGATCATAGACTGTTGTAAATGTGCAAGAGCTGATCTAGAAGGATCGTAGCATAATCCCACTATGTGCCTAACACTTAATAGTGTTCAAAAGATGGGTTGGGAGGCAGCTAGGTGGTAAAGTGGTTAAAGCTCCGGCCTTGGAGTCAGGAGGACCTGAGTTCAAATCCAGCTTCAGATACATGATACTTAATAGCTTTGTGACCTTGAGCAAGTCACTTAACCCCGATTGCCTCACCAAAAAAAAAAAAAAAAGATGGGTTGGCTGCTTGGCCAGGGTGAGAGATGATAGATAGACAGCCGGATGTACAGATCTACTCAGTCTCTCAGTATCAGGAGAAAGTAAGGATTGTCTCCAGTACATTGAGTAAATTCTCTGTTGTGAATGTATAGGAGAGTGTAGATAACAAAATTGCACAGGAGATAGGCACGGATGGGTTGTGATCTACTTTCCAGGTCCATGAAATTATAGATCTATTTGAGTCTATGCTGACACTTGGGATACAAAGACAAAAGTAGAATAGTCACTCCATTCAGTGAGTTTGCTTACATTCTGTTTGGAGAGACAACTTGTACATGTATAGATAATAGATATAAATTAGACAAGGTGATTTTTAGGAGAATTAGTAAAGGCTTTATGTTGAAGTTATCATGTGAGTTGCCTTTTTTTCTTTTGCCAAAATAAATTTTTTCTATTTTTTAAAAATTTTAATTTTTTTTCAATGACAGTCTACCTTCTTTCCTTTCTATCTCATTCCCTTTCCACTCGCATTGAGAAAAAAAAACGAAATCTCTATTACAAATGTGTATAGCCAAACAAAATAAATTCCCATATTGTCCATATCCAAAAATATGTGTCACATTCTACACTCTGAATCTGTTACCTGTTAGGAGGTGGTTAGCATCATGAATCCTCTGGAATTATGGTTGGTTATTGCATTGATTAGAGTTCTAAAGTCTCTCAGAGTTGTTTGTCTGTACAGTAATATAATTTGTATAAATTGTTCTCCTGACCTCCTCTACATCACTTCATAAAAGTCTTTCCAGATTTCTCTAAAACCATCCCTTTCATTATTTCTTGTAAGTACAACAATATTCCATTACATTCATCTACCATATCTGGTTTAGCCATTCCCCAATTGATGGCCCACCTCCTAGTTTCTAGTTCTTTGCCATAACAAAGAGAGCACCTACAAATATTTTTGTACATATGGGTCTTTTTCCTCTTTGCTTGATTTTTTGGGGATATGAACCTAGTAGTTTTATTAATAAGTCAAGAGAATTTGCACATTTTAGTAAGTTTTGGGTAACGTTCCAAATTTTTTTTTCTGGAATGGCTAGACTAGTCCATAGCCCCACTAATAGTTCATTAATGTATTTTTCCATAGCCTTGCCAGAATTTTGCATTTTCCATTTTTTGTCAACTTTGCCAATCTAGTGGGTGTGAGGAGGAACCACAGAGTTGCTTTAATTATGCTTTTCTAATTATTATTAGTTTAGGGCAATTTTTTATATGGCTATTGATAGCTTTCTTTGAAAAGTGCCTATTCAAATCTTTTGACTATTGATGAATGGCTCTTATTCTTATAAATTTGAATCAGTTCCCTGTATATCTTAAAAATGAAGCCTTCATTTTTTTGTTTCTTTTTCTTTTTTTTTGGTGAGGCAGTCGAGGTTAAGTGACTTGCCCAGGGTCACACAGCTAGTCAATGTCATGTGTCTGAGACTGTATTTGAACTCATGTCCATCTGTCATCAAGGCCAGAGCTCTATCCACGGCACCACTTAGCTGCCCAACGTCCTCTTTTTTTTTTCTTTTTTTTGGGGGGAGCTAGGCAATGGGGTTAAGTGACTTGCCCAGGGTCACACAGTTAGTGAGTGTTATGTATCTGAGGCCAAATTTGAACTCAGGTCCTCCTGAATCCAGGGCCAGTGCTCTATCCACTGTGCCACCTAGCTGCCCCCTAAAATGAAACTTTTATTGGAGAAACTTACTGCAAAGATTTTTTCCCCCCTTACCTGATTCACATGAGTTATGTCTTAAACAAAACTTAGGGATTTTAAGACTTAAAAGTGAGGAGGAGTATGCATAGGCTTGGAGACAGGATATGATGGAATGTCTCTTATAACAGAAAAAAGTCAGTTTGTTTTGTAGAGGTTGTGAAGGAGAGTAATGTGTAATAAGACTGATAAGGTAGACTGGGGCCAGGTTGTGAAGGGTTTTAAATGCTAAATAATTTATATTTGCTCTTGATGAATTTATTGAGAACAGCCCTTAAGGAAAATCACTTGAACCTGTGTAGTGGATGAATTGGAGTGCTGTGAGACTTGAGGCAGAAAGACCAGTAATGAGGCCATTGCAGTAATCCAGGTGAAAACTGATGGAGACCAGAACTAGAAGTGTATTGGTAGAGAGAAGGGGACAGATGCGAGATTATTATGGAGGTAGAAATGACAATATTTGACAGCTGTTTAGTTGGGTGATAAGAAGAATGATGGTGCTCTTGATAGAAATAGAGAAGTTAAGAAGAAAGATGGTTTGGTGTGGGGGAGGAGCTGAAGATAACTGAGTTCCATTTTGGACATGTTGAGTTTGAGGTACCTGTGAGGACATCCAGTTTGATATGTCAAGGCAGAAACTTTTAAAAACAGATTTGAGAATGGATAGGTAAATAGAAGTTTAATTCTTTATTTTAATTGTCTTTTTCTGCTGTCACCATTGGCAGGCATGTTTAATAACCAGCCCTTCAAATAGCCATTTGTTCTGTGAGAGTAATGATCTATGTCTGCTTCCAGAGAATAGTGTTGATCTCCTTTAATTCCCAGCTTTTTGACTCATTCTTCATCAGTAAGGGAAACATGGAGAATGGCTTGGTGGCTTAAGCTGTTGGTACTTGTGTTAAAAAGCTCAAAGCCAGAGGGTTGGTTTCTGCTTTTTTGGTCTACAGAAACTCAGGAAGTTTGTCTACTAAGGCACAGAGGGATTTTAAACGGGTTTGGTGAAGGTAGTACCACACCAACATAAGAATGAGTCTTTGTCCTAAAAGTTATTAGATCATAGATTTAGAGCTGGAAGGGATCTTCAGAAGCCACCTATCTGGCCCAACTCCCTCATTTTACCAGTAAAGAAATGAGGGCCCAGACAGGTGACATTACCTGCCCAAGGTCATGTACGTAATAGTAAGTGAAAAGTAAGGATTTGTGCCACAGGCCTTTTGTTTCCAAGTATAATATTCTTTCCATTGCATCAAAATAGATGTTAAGTCTGGAATTTTTTTAAGCTTTTTGAAAAGACATTTACTCAAATGGCTTGCAAAGAAGAGTAGTTACAAAATATGGCTTCTAAACATCCATGGATGGTGAAGTAGGGAGAGTGGGCACAAACTTAATGTAATGCAAGTGAGGAATAGTCAGTCAACAAGCATTTATTGTGTGCCAGGTATTGTGCTCAGTTCTAGGGATACAAATAGAAGCAAAAAAGAAAGATGGTCTCTGCCTTCAAGAAGTTTGCATTCTTATGGAGGAAGACAACATATAAAAGGGATATGAAAAGTAAGGATTGGGGGAGGTAGAAAGGGTGCATTGGAGGCAGAGGGGATGTATCTGCGTAAGGGTATAATGGCATGGCTGCAAAGTCCAGAAAGTCAGAAGCAAAGCCAGGATTTAAATGAAAGAAGCTTGGCTTGGGCCACTCCCCAAAATGTATATATATACCCTGGCGGGAATTCACTAAGGGGAACAGGAGACTTGCAGGGGTAGAGTTCCAGGGTCAGAAGGAAACTGAGACAGAAGGAATAGAGGAAACACTGATAGGGAACCTAGGTTAAGGCACTTTACAACTCTAGAATAGCAGGGCCTCCATCTTCTTTCTTTTTCTAGGGAGTCCTTACAAAGGGCATACCCTTACATCGTTGCCCTTACCCACATATGGATAATAAATGACTTTAAGCTAGATTCTGAACATTTTCCTTTCTTGTATCTCATAGGTTGTTAATGATGATCTCTAGGGCAAGTATTAAAGTACGCATTCCTTCCTTTATTCTAGACTTTCCTAGCTAAATAGAAATAGCACTTTACAGTATAAGTAACCTCCTACAGATCTTGTGGCTAAGGCTGATATTTTTAATGGCAACATTAAAGTGAATCCAGGGGATTTGAGTTCAGTAATAGTGTGTATCCTGAATAAAGACAGGACAGTTTCCAGTCAATTAAAAATTTATGTTATAAGAGATACTGACCTTCATATATTATTATAATATATGGCACTTTGTTGGCAAAAAAACAAAACAATGCCAGTTGGCTCTCCATGATATGTTACTTACTTGCTGCAATATGATTTATGACTACCAAATGATAGAGAAAGGAGAATAATCAATTGCTAGATCAATTAAGTAAATCAATTGCTAAAGAGTTCTATATCTAGGTTTTTTCAAAATGTGTATTAATAGCTTTTGTTTTTACTTTGTTTCTGAATATGTCCCTTTCCCATTTCCTATTGAATGACCTGTCGCTGTCACAAAGAGAAAAGGAATTGAGTTCTGCGAAACTGATTAATACACCAGCAAAGTCTAGCAGTATATATAGTCCCATGCTCATTTAGTCCCCTACTATGCATAGAAGAGCAGGAAGTATATCCCCTAGTATAAAAGGGACTGAGTGCACAGTTTGGGATTGGAGCTGCCTTCTGTTTATCCTTTCTCTCATACCACATGCGTATATGGGTGGCTGTGTTGAGCCCTTTCCCTCAGACTGCTAAGAAATGATCTTTTTAGCAAAAAAGAATCAAATCATAAACACCCTTAAACCACATGGAAAACACATCCTACAATTACAGTCTAGTGTGTTTTTTCTTTTAAGAGTAAAACCTCAATTCTATTGGTGATCAGATGAGATACATTTTGTTTGTAGCCAGTTTTCTTTCATGTCATGTCCATATAGCAGAGGGCTTAATGGCTTTGAGAAGGAAGACAATACTGTCCCTCTTTTTCTTAGCTGTTCTTGGTTGAATACCCTTAACATGAATGGGTAGTTCCGTTTGTTCAGTTCACTTGATTCATCTGTCATGTAAAGTGCAAAAATTCATTTGGAGTGCATTTAATGAGGTATTGAGTGGCTCTGGAGAAATGTGCTCCACAAAATCGCATGTATGGTCATAAAGTGCTCAGGCTGATTAACTCTGAAGCAAAAGTAATGGCATAAAAATTGTTAGCTTTCTTGCTACATTTTTGGTTCTTCTTTATAACCCTAAGTAGTGTTTTATGAAGGTATGTGCATAAATGGGTCAATATATAGAGTATTTTAACATAGAGGTGTTTAAAGAGATTTATTATGCTATTGATTGATGATTTCCTCTCTTTTTTCTTAAATTCACAGTGAATGTAAGGCTTCAGCAGCTTCTGTATCATCTCATGTGTCAGAATCCACCGTTCAGCCAAGTCTCTTTGGAATTAACCATGAGGCACTCCACAAACAGATAATGGAGTACAAAAGAAACAAAGAGAAAGGGCATGAAGGTGTAAGCATTGGGAGTGCAGAGCAAGAGCGGGAGCAGGTATCCATGCTGCAGAAGCAGGTGAAGAAGAAAATGAAGAAGGCAAAGCGTCCCAAGGATGATGACATTACCCCCCAGGAGTATTTCCTCAACAGATATGATAATCAGCTGGACAAGGATGATACATTTTTTGAAGAATGTAAACCAGAGTATGAACTGCAGGAAGCGTTAGAGAAATTAGAGTTAGAGGATAATAGTATTTGTGAAGAACAAAGTTCATTAACTGCAGGTCTTGGAGAAAATAAACTTAAGAAGTGTTAACTTTTCTGACAGTTTAAAAAAAAAATTTGGTTTAGTTTGCTATTTAACATTAAACTGGTCCTAAAAATGTACTCCTGTGCTATCATTATGCATATTATTATTATTATGCACATTATTATGCTTCTATTTTGAAAATTAAAAGTACATTTTTCCATTTTCAGAATGGGAAGTCAGTTAAGGAGACACATCAAAAATTTCAGGGAAGAGTAAAACTGAGTTGGTCAAGAAAAGATATCAGTTATTTCTTCTGATCTAAGCTGGAATCTGGTTTATTGCCATCCTGCTATAGATTTTCATTAAATATCTAATAGCTCATTTGTGAATTTAAGCCTGCTTTACTGTGTAAGGAGAACTTGGAAGATTGCTTTCTCTCCTTTTCCCTCTCTGTTGTCTTAATCATTGCAATTGAAAAGTATGTTAAGTGCCTAATTAGGTATAGGGCTAGGCAGAGGGTACTCCCCAGAAGAACCCTAGCCCTGGTAAGAAGCTTGCTTACTAATACAAGAACTTTAAAGAAACAACTCTGCAAGTGTTAGTATGAACTCATGGAGCCAAAGATGAGCTGTAGCAGAAAGAAATGATAAACTTGGAATGTAGTTCTGTGTGACCTTGAGCAGGTTAATTCACTTCTCTGGGCCTCAGTTTCCTCAGTTGTAATATGAGGGAGTTGGACTAGATCTCTAAAAGCTCCTTCCAGCCTAAGACCTTTGATTATAGAGAATATTTTAATCCCACCTGTCAGCTAAACTTTCCAAGGTGAGTAATGTATCTGCTGAAGTTCTCTTAGAAAATTCTGTTAACTTTTTATCGATGGGAAGAGAGGGGGAGCCAAATTCTCTTGCCTCAAAATAAAGTTACAGGGGGCATTTGGATTTATGTCACCCTCAACTTAGACTGGCTAGTTGGAAATTGGGCTTAACTGATAATAATAAAATTGATCAATTGATGGTATTGGAAAAAAAATAATAAAATATATCTTCTGGTATAAAAGAGACTGAGTACAGAGTTTGGTAGGCTTTCAAGACCACTTCATTTCTGTTCATCTGTTCTTGAGAAGTATCTCATTATTTTAAACCATGTGCCCTGAAAATAATCTCTCATTTATAGTACATTGTTACTCTGAAGCTTTACAGTAAGTTGCAAAAATGTCTATTACATTTTATGAGTTCAGGCATTGTATATGCTTTGAGTGTAGACTTAAACCTTCTCTAAATTTTTATTGCCTGACTCTCCAAACTTTCACATTAGCCTAACTTTGCATTTAATAAAATGAATTATTGATGGTAATGCACGTTGCATTGCAGAGATTTTGTGCATGATTTCAGAGATAAGGGGTGAGTAGAAGTCATGAGATGGAACTCTTTTACTTTATAGCCACATTTCACATATTTAGGGCTCTTGATTCATAAGAAAAGTGATTTCAAAATTTCAAATACATAAAATTAAACCGTGGTTATGGCCAAGTATAATAAAATTGGAGTAATAAAAGCATATGGGAAAGTAGGTTGGATGATTGTACTTTTACAAGGTGGATTAGAACCTGTCAAACAGTTGTACCCAAAGAGTGTTGATTAATGGATTTTAGTCAACAAAGATTTGTTAAGTGATTATTGTGAAGTAGAACACTAATTGGTGTTAGGGGAGATACAAAGTTTCTAAGAAACGCTTCTCACCTTTCATTTTTTAGTTTAATAGAATATGACAGAAGATCTCTACTGGTGTGATGCATTACTTTTCCTTCGTCCTTTTTTTTTTAAATCAATGACTTGAATAAACAGGTGGCAAGCTTATCAACTTAGTAGAAGACATGAAGCTACAAATTATAGCTTTGCATTTGACATAATTGGGTTCCCAAAAAATCTTTGTACTAAAGTAATAGACCAAATCTTATAAAGTGAAATATAACAGTAAATAAATGGAAAGTGCTGTAAATAAGTGATTGAAAAAATGCAGCTTCACAGATTTAGTATAGAGGAGACCTAGATAGAAAGCAGATCAAAGTTTAAAAGAAAACAAACAACCCAGAGGGTTTTGTAGGTCACAAGTTCAGTAGGAATTAAAGTGAGTGATAGTTCTGTTGTCCTTTTCTGGTCAGATGGCCTATGAAATATTATGTTCAGCATATCAAATTTATGAGGAACATTCATAAGCTACAGCATATTCAAGGAAGGGAGAATTGGGTAGGGGAACTCAAAACCAAGTTAGCTGACTTGCCTCAGAGAATTGATATTAGCCTCAGAGGAAATTCAGGCTCAGGCAAAACATAGTTATCTTCACATATTTTTAAAGGGTTATCACGGAAGGATTAAATTTATTCTGTTGGGCCCCAAAGGGCAAAACTGGAGCCTATGAATGAAGATAATGGATAGATTATTTTAACTCAATATAAGGAGGAACTTAATAACAGCAATTCAAAAATTGAATGGGTGAGCCTTGTAGGTAGTGAGTTCCCTGTCACTATGTATGTTCAAACAGTGGTTGGGTGATCACTCAATTAAGATTCATATCTAGACTAATGTAGTTAAAATTAAACGACAACTGGGGAGAAATTTTTTGCAGCAAGTTTCTCTGATAAAAATATGACAACCAAGATATAAAAGGAACTGATTGAAATTTGTAAAACCAAGCCATCCCCTAATAGTCATCAAAGGACATGAACAAGCAGTTTTCAAAGGAATAAATCCAAACTGTCAACAAACAAATGCTCCAAAGCACGATTATCAGAGAAATCTATTAAAGAAACTGGTTCCACCTTGTACCCAGCAATTTGGTAAAGATGACAACAACTGAAAATGACATGGTGAGGAAGGAGTGGGGAGACCGAGAAAACAGGCATGCAAATGCCCTGTTTCTTCTACAGGAGCCTTTCCAACCCTTATAGCGCTTTCCTCATTTACTTTCTATTTATCCCATATTATAGTTTTTTTTTTTGGTGTATACATTTGCTTGTCTCTCCTGTTAAATTGTAAGCTCCTTGAAGACAGAGATTGTCTTTTTGTACCCCTAGCACATAGCGCAGTGCTTAGCACATAGTGGGCATTTAATAAGTGTTTATTGACCACTGGTAGAGCTGTGAATTGCTCCATACTCAGGCATTTGAAATTGCCCCCCAAATGGACTAAATTGTGCATACTTATTCACCCAGTGATGCTACTACTAGGCTTATAACCCAAAAGTATATTTTAAAAATGGAAAAGGACTCATGTATATAAAAATTTTTATGGTAGCGAAAAACTTGAAACTAGAAATGGGGAGTGCTTGTCTATTGGGGAATGGCTTAACAAGTTATGGTATATGAGTATAATGCAATTGTACTGGAAAGACTGTATGAATTGATGTAGCATGAAGTGGATAGAATCAGGAGAGCAGTTTATACAATAACATTATAAAGAAAAACAACATTGAAAGACTTGAGAACCAATGCAATTCATTTAACCTATAACATCATGAAGCAAAATAACTGCAAGAATTGAGAGTTAATGTGACAATTTCAGAGTATTGAAGATAAAGTATGCTACCCACTGAGAGTTAACTCAAGATGGAGAAACATAAAGCTCATATGGGCAGTGAATACTGGAATTGTCCTGAAAGTTCCACAGGCAGCTAATTGTGCTCTGTACTTCTCTATTTAACACACAATCTACTGGAACTTCTTGATCCCTGGATCTCTAAAGGACTCCATTAGTTCTGTGGATTCCTGTATTGTGTGGGGGAGTATATAGGTGATTCTTTACATCATCTAGTAGGAGGGCAGAGCCAAGGTGGCAGAGTAAGACAGGAACTTGCTTGAAGTCTCCCAAATTCAATTCCAAACAACTATAAAATAATACTTCAAAACGAATTCTGGAGTGGCAGAATCAACAAAAGAACTGAGTGTCCAGCCCAAGACAACTTAGAAGGTCGGCAGGAAAAGTCTGTCTCATTTAGATAACAGGAGAACACAGTCCAGTGCCGGCAATGTCTGGGCAAGCCAACAGCAGGCTTGTGCCCCAGCAAGCCAGCAGTGAGGTCCTGAGCCATGGGACAGACCAGCAGTGAGGCCTCTCAGTCCTGATGCACAGAGCTTAAGACAGTGCCCACTCAACCACAGGAACAGAGCCCAACTTCAATATTAAATTAAAAGTCATGAAATAGGCTATAAAAATAAGCAAAAATAAATAAATAAATAACCTGACCATAGAAAGTTACCGTGGTGACAAGGAAGATCAAAACACAAACTCAGAAGAAGACAATCTTGTCAAAATAGCTGCATGCAAAGATGCAAAGGAAAATGTGAATTGGTCTCAGGTCCAAAAAGAATTGGAAGAGTTCAAAAAGGAGTTTAAAAATTAAGTAAGAGGTAGATAAAAAGTAATGAGAGTGATGCAAGAGAATCGTGAAAAAAACAGTTTGGTAAAGGAAACACAAAAAAATAGGAAAAGATTTACAAATCTTTACTGAAGAAAACAGTTCCTTCAAAAGTAGAATTGGCCAAATGGAAAAGGAGATACAAAAGCTCACTGAAGAAAATAACTCCTTACAAATTAGAATTGGGCAAGGGGAAACTAATGACATGAGGCATCAAGAAACAATAAAACAAAGTCAAAAGAATGAAAAAAAATTAGAAGAAAATGTAAGATATCTCACTGGAAAAATAACTGACCCGGACAATAGATCCAAGAAGAATTATTGGACTACTGATAGCCATAATGAAACTAATGAACATAATGAACACATTTCAAGAAACTATCAAGAAGAACTGCTCTGATATCCTAAAACAAGAGGGTAAAATAAAAATGGAAAGAATCCACTAATCACCTCCTCAAAGAGATTATAAAATGAAAACTTCCAAAAATAATTTTAGAGTTCCCAGGTCAAAGAGAAAATACTTCAAGCAGCCAGAAAGAAACAATTCAAACTTCATGGAGCCATAGTCAGGATTACATACAATTTAGTAGCTTCTATCTTAACGGAACAGAGGGCTTAGAATATGATATTCCAGAAGGCAAAGGAGCCAGGATTACAACCAAGAATCACCTACCCACCAAAACTGAATATAATTCTTCAGGGGGAAAAATAGATATTCAATGAAATTGAGATGTTCAAGCATTCCTAATGAAAAAACCAGAGCAGAACAGAAATTTTGATTTTTCAAATACAAGACTCAAGAAAAGCATAAAAAGAGAAACAGAGGGGGGCAGTTAGATGGTGCCGTAGATAAAGCACCGGCCCTGAAGTCAAGAGGACCTGAGTTCAAATCCGGCCTCAGACCAAACACTTGACACTTACTAGCAGTGTGACCTTGGGCAAGTCACTTAACCCCAATTGCCTTAAAAAAAGAGAAAGAGAAACTGAAAAGAGAAAACAATGAATTCAATAAGGTTAAACAGTTTAAAATCCTACATGGGAAGATATACTTGTAACTCTTAAGAACTTTATCACTATTAGAACAATTAGAAGGAGGATACATAGACAGAGGGTGGAGGTGTGTGTTGACTGTGATGGGATGATATCCAAAAAAAAATAGAATTAAGGGGTGAGAAAGGATTGCACTGGGAGAAGAAGAAAGGGAGAGGCAGAATGGAGTAAATTATCTCACAGGAAGAGGCACAAAAGAACTATTACAGTGGAGGGGAAGATGGGGGTGGTGGGCAATGCTTGGACCTTACTCTCATCAGAATTGGCTCAAAAAGACAATAGCATACACACTCACATAGAAATCTCTTACCCTATAAGAAAGTAAGAGGGGAGGAGGATAAGAGAAGTGGTGGGGGAGACTGATAGAAAGGAGAGCACACTAGGGAAGGTGGTGGTCAGAAGAAAAGCACTTGCGAGGAAGGATAGGACCAAAGGAGAGAGGGGGAAGAGAGAGAGAGAGAGAGAGAGAGAGAGAGAGAGAGAGAGAGAGAGAGAGAGAGAGAGAGAGAGAGAGAATAGGATGGAGGGAAATACATAATCATAACTGTGAATGTGAATGGGAGGAACTCAAAATGAAAGTGGATGGTAGAATGATTAAAAATCAGAATACTACAATATGTTGTTAACAAGAAACACATTTGAAGCAGAGAGACATATACAGAGTTAAAATAAGGAGCTGGAGCAGAATCCATTATGCTTTAGCTAAATTTAAAAAAAAAATAATAAAGCAAAAGTGGCAATCATGATCTCAGAGAAAGCAAAAGCAAAAATAGATCTTAATTAAAAGAGACAAGGAAAGGAACTAGATCTTGCTAAAAGGTACCATAGACAATGAAATAATATCAGTACTAAACATATGCACCAAATGGTATAGCATCCAGATTTTTAAA